TCAGGTTCCATGTAGTTATCAGGCTCTTGATCTTGATGTTCATTAGGTTCCTGTATTTGTCGTTCGCTAGATTGGTCATCGTCATCAGAAACTAATTTGGGGTCTTCATTATTTGCCTCTTCTTTTCGATTTATTTGTAAACCTAGTCCAGCAGTAGAAATATCCAGCTCATCATCGACATCTGACTCAACATCAGTATCTTCTGCATTATCTAGTGGAGGCAAAAAATCATCAAAATCATCATTTTCTATAAGTTCTAACAATTCGGAATCAGTCAAGCCTTTTTCTTTCGCCACTGTGGACAATGTCTGAAATGAAAAAAATATATTACAATTATGCCCAACGGTACTCTTAGGTACCAATGAAACAAATGTCGTTTTTAGTGACTAAACACTCAAAACCCTTTAAAAACATTAATTAGTTAAACAAAAAACTTACTTACCTGCCATTTTTTATAAACAAAACACTGTAGACGTTATTTCAACAATAAAAAATACACTTTGAAGGAAGCACTTATAGACAGCCCTGACTACCATAACAATGATACAAACAAATGAAGAATTCGCACTGCACATCGCATGACAGTAGCTACAACCAATGAAATCGCGTTGTTCAAGGCTAGACTTAGATGTACCGCTGGGAAATAATCACTTAAAGCTAGTCAGAGTAGTTTTAATGTAAACTAAATGAAGTGGTACTTACGTGTACGGTGGGACCTAAAGGTCGACAAATTATAATTTCGTCCATAGAATCTCCATAGAAACAAATATTTGCAATGCAATGAATCTCCATAGAAACAAATATTTACTCATTCTTGCTTTATATAAATAAAAAATTGCAGAATTCATAACACAATATAAACAAAATGTACTTTTCTAAAACTTTATCTTTTTATATTTGAAGCATACAGCATCTACATTCTAAAAACATGCCAACACTGCTATACCAAAATTTTTTGTTCCATGTTTGACATTTGCGGCTATCATCAGCTTGTACTTCCGGTAAATTCACTTACTACGGTAAGACCACTTTCATTGAAAAAAAAAAGACTAACCTAGAATAATGGGAGTAAATATTAATTTTGTTCATTAAAAACTTTCTATTTGTAAATAATAATCTATAAAATGTCAAAATAAATTTTTGTTTTAATTAATGCAGGTTTACTTTGTGAATGTATGTGAATCTTTTTTTGTTTAAATATTGGCTATGATCACGTATGCTTGGTTGTCTACTTGCAGTCACTGTCAGTTGGTCCAAATTTAATCAACGTAATAAAAATAATCATTAAATTTGACACAGCACATGTACTGTTGACTGTTAATTTAATTGACAGAAAACACATTCTATGAATGAATACAATTATGGTGAGGTAGATCTGGTAGATTTTAGATTCACGGCACGGTAGATTGGTAATTGGTAGCAATTGGTAGATTCAGTCAACTTTGGTCACGGAGTGTTGATTTATTACTTAAAGCTAATAAATCTTGACCATATTCACTGACGAAAATTATTAAAAACAGTATTTTTGCGACATCTTGTTTTTGTGGTAACTGCTAAGGTAGGTTTTTTTTTTTAACAAATCTTTCAATTTAATACTTTTTGTTTTCTTAAAAGTCTGTACTAAACAAAATATTATATGAACTATTTATAAAAGAAAAGTTTGCTGAATGAAATAGATCATCTTACCTAATATTTTTTTAATTACAATGAAATCTGAGTAAACCGGTTCCTGTTTAGTATCTGATAGAAATTTTGGTGATTACCTGCATGTTATAATATAGGTAGAGAACATGGACGTATAAACACAGAGTAGAGAACATAACTTGGATTTGGATAATGCAAAATCTTGTTTATACCGGAAAGTTAATTCACTACAATGTAATTCTGTTTTTACACAGATTTCACAGTATAAATAACTAAGATCTGAGATTTTCAATTCTTATTTTGATATTTAAAGTGGAGTATATAAACTCTACATTAAGATTATTAGATAATTTTACAACTTGGTAGAATACAGATTACTTTGTATGTTACTTATTGGATTTACTACACATAGTTTTAGCTTATTGCCAAGAATTAACAAATTTGTATTAAAAATTAAGAGAACAAGGAATAAATAAGAAATTTAGACTCTCACAGCTAAATGTAATGATAATAATATCAAAACATTTTATAAAAGTTAACCTAGACAAATTACAAAAGCATGAATTATGAATACATATATAATACCAAATTAATCTTCCAAGACATTAAAAAAACTCCTCACAAACTCACATTATTACTGAGTGTTAGATATTTCTTCATTAAAACTTAATTTATTCCATATGACTGTATGTAGTATAACATAACTTGAAGCATTTAAGATCTAGGTATTTCGAAAAATTCTAAAAATGTGACAGATAGAATATAAAAATGAATAAAAATCGTTATATATCATATAAACCGATATTATTTTTGTCATAGTGATGACCAGGCTTCGTCAGAGGACCTCTAAAAAAGAAACATTGTTAAATGTGGCTCTTAGCACTTTAACTCCCAGGCCATAATTTGAAAAACTTTATGGCAAATCCATTATACTTTTTTGATGTAAGGACATGAAGATTAATGTTAAGAACAATGAAAACTCATTTTTGTATTAAACACGAACATGATTTTTCAAAAAAATAAGTTTGGTCATATGTGGTACAGATTGGCTAGTAAGAAATACTTAATTAATTTTATTTCGATTAACCTTGTGCACCTTATATGTTCCACGGCCCATACATTCAAAAAAAGCCATACTAACAAGTCATTTATTTTTTTACATAACAATTATGTGTCACAACAAAACAATCAGAACACATAAAAAGCAAGAGCTCGTCCATGATTTCACAATTTTGCCATCAGGTCCATAACCACATCCATAGATTCGCTCTTGTTGATAGGTATAGTCCCTTTTCCACCATACACCTTTATATTATAAGTGTAACCATTCGGAATACATACTTTGAACAGTTTTATTCCGTACTTATGTCTTTTGCCAGGTATGTACTGTCAAAATCCTAATCTACCATGGAAAGGCACTATAGTCTCGTCTGTTCAAATTTTCTCACCTGGAATACATACTTTTTAAAATTGTTTGTTTTGAATTTCAAGTGCAGGAATAATTTTATATAGCTAATCATTTTCAGGAGCAACTTCGTTATTGGCAACATGTAAGAAATGCATCAGAGCGTCAAATCTGTTACGACTAATACCACAACTAGACGAAATTTCGTTTCTATAACACCTATTTGTATTCCAATAATCTCGAAACCTTGGTTTTTTATCTAGTCCCATCCATTTTGTCAGGCCAAAAAACACTTTCATTTCCTTTCGTGTCTTATGAATCCGTTTAGAAATCACACGATTGTTCAAAGTATTGGTTAGTTTCAGTAACAAGTAAATCTAAAACAGGTTCCAGAAACAGCAAATAAAAGCCAATAGGTAATTTATCTTTCATATGATCATCATTTCTAAAATTCATAATTTTGTCATCAAATTTAAATTGATTTATTACTATCAGTATCTTCCCAAATTATTGTATTTTCTGACTAATCTAATGCGGATTCTTCAATTTTGGAATTAATATTTTCGTCATGTTCAGACTGATTCCCGTCAATTTGAGAATTAGTTTTGTTAGTTACTTGTTGCACTCTCCCTGTAGATGTAGATGGTATATTTTCAGATATTTTAATTTTTTTCGAAAACTGGTCACACATGTTGGAAGTTTTTCTTTTAAAAGTGTTTTTATTAGCAACATTTGCAGATCCCAAATAACTATCTTCACTAGTGCCATCACTGGATTGGTCAAAATTGTAATCCTTCAACGAATTTTCGGACTCACTATCACTTTCAAAAAAATCGCTCTCTAAAATTCGTCTAAGTTCATCTTCACTTAACTTTTGTTTATTTTTCCACGATTTACTCATTTTACATACTACAATAACTTTTATTTTGCAAGCTAATAGCGCGTGTAAATGATACAATGATAGGCTAAATATCATAACCTGTATTAAATCAAAAGATAGCGAGAGTAACAAACCATCGTCCACAGGCATTCTAGAGAACCGTATGCCACGCCTATTAATGCAAATTGTCTATATCTGCGGTTATAATAGGTTCACACCGAAATGAACAAGGATAGTTTTGTGCCATCTGTAGGGACATATTGATTGAACGGAAATCTTACTGTACCCACAGGTGGTGCACATGGGAGCTAAAGTGTTAAAGAAGAAATTATGTAAATGGTACACATTCAGCACCAGATCACTATATTTGTCTTACAACGTTAAAAACGAAAATAATATTTAATCTTTATTAGTTACCATCTGTCAATGAATAAGGCAGAAATCTCCATAATACAGTTGGAGTCTTTCTAAATATTTTATTTTTTTAAGACTTCCACATGTCTGGAGCTGTATTTTCTATCATTAAGTAGTTAATAGTATTTTTGTCAAGCTTACATGTGTGTGAAACTAATAAATATTTACTTTTTTATAAATTTGCTTCTATCTATTCTTTGCACCTACAATGGATCGCTTTTTCATCAATTGATTTCAATCTTGTCAATAATTCTTATCAGTTCTTTGTATGCCTAGGTGACTAAATAATTACAGTTTTAAATAGAAACAATAATTTAAAAGCAAATTTCGTTTATTGTTTATATGAGTAATACAATATTTTGCAGTTTCAATTATAAAATATGCTTAAATTGATCAATAGTTTACTATCTTTAAAATTTAACTGATTTTATTAAAATATTGTTGTTAAAGAAGTGTGTCAAATTATCAAAGGGTTTTTGCTATTAAGAGGTTCCTCTTTATAGAATTTGCAGTGGTGATGTGGCCAAAAATGAGGAGTTTTACTGTATGTTGATTGTATATCTTTATTTATTAATAAATGTGCACTTATAGTGTCATTTAATATATAGCTTTTAGGACAAATTATTTATAATTAATTATGTTAGAAAAAGATAAAACATGGATGAATGCTGGGATGACAATCCTGATCCTTGGGTGGAACCCGCAAATCCAGCTCCCCAAAGTACGCAATATAACACAAATAATTGGTACCAGGAGCGCCCTCAGCAAAATTTCAGAAGGGGTAATCCAGAGAGCAACGTACTAATTGGAGACAGAGGGAAAGGAAACCTGATGAAAACTCAGAAACTTTAAATGTTGAGTCAAAATATGTGGGAAGAATAATAGGTAAGTTGTTCTTATTTAAGAGTTTTACATTTTTATTTGATTCTTGAAAATAGTGAGCAGTTCAAAGATTCTAACAGTGCCAGTAGTACCCTGCGACCCTGTGTCAAAATAGTATAATCAACAACATATAAATAAGTATGTCATAAAAATAAATAAATTTAAAACAAAAATATGGAATCTGCAAATGATTTAAAGCTAGTTGAATGCTATGCTTAGAATGGGCAAAGACATTCAATAAAATGTACACCCTCATTGAATCTATTGATAAGTCAAGAAAGAAACATGCCACTGAACCATAAAAACCATAGTTAGCATATGAAGCATCAAACAAGCAAGTATTTTTGGTAACCCTATTAGTTATTTTAAAGGAGAACAGCCCAATCAGGTCGGGGCAACAAATGTGGCCAGATAACAGTGTAAAAAGAAGTATTACATCTTTCATTATCCTGCGATTTTCCAGAGTATAAAGCTTAAGTTGAATTAGAATATCTTCATAACAGTAAGTATGCAAAGGCCTATTCAACTAGTATGCTATAAACCATAGAAATTTGGAAGAAGGGAAACTATACATTAGAGGTATACTGTGAAGTTGAGCTAACCAATACATTGTCCACTATCTTTGTCGAATTAATGTACCAATGGACAGATTCGAATGTAGTTATAAGGATCGAATCATTTTTTTAATGCCCCTTTGTCCGTTTCTTCTCGATCGACGATGGTAAATACAATAAAATGTTGAAGTGAAATGTGACCTAAATGACCAATGAGAAGGTCACGTGGTCAATCAATATGGCCCATTAGAAAGAGATAGAGGGACTGCTGTACGTCAGTTTTTTTCTGTCGCACTGTGGGAACGAGCTTGATATGTCTATGACTACAACTTTGTACATAACCTCAACTTCTTTACAAGACTGACACAACTCAAAATAATTCATTCTTCTTCACAGGAAGCAATTTATTATCTTATTATGTTTTTTGAGAAAGGATGAAATATCTCAAAATAGTACATTATTTTTAAAATTATATATGATAATACTGACTTATTTTTTTAATACTGGCATAAATCAAAAGACGCGGTCTTAAAAGAAGTATGTCCACTTAGCATGATACTTGGGAAGCAACTGAGATATGACAATATTGTGCAAATGTCGAATCAACTTTTCAAATAACAATAACGACACTTCTGCCATCTGACGGCCATAGGCATAAACTAACTTTATGACGTTATCACACACAAATCTATAGAATATTTGAAATTTGTTCACTAACATAATCTAGTTTTTACTTTTCTGAGATATAACTGTCTTCTTCTAAGGTAGCGATATATTATATTATTACATATGTCCAACAGTGGACACATACATGTTGATGACGACATTACATAGTGTTTTTTGTAGGACGTCAAGGATCAAAAATAGCATCGCTACAAGAAGAGTCGGGTGCTCGAATACACATCGATAAAAATTCATTTGGTGAGGAAACCGAGATAAAAATTTCTGGAGATTCAGCTGCCATTCAAAAGGCCAAAGAGTTAATAATGGATTTAACAGTGGAGAGAAAAGCAAATTATGAGCAAAATAATAAACCACCAGAAGAACCTAAACAAGAAATGGATCTAGATACCTTCCTAAAACAATGCGAAGACGCAGAACAGGCAGAATGGGCAAAGTACCCCCCAACCGTAAAAAACTTTTACGAAGAACACCCGCAAATATCAAAAATGTCGCAAAAAGAGGTTGACGAATTTCGCCTATCTAACAACAATACTATGGTGAGCCGTGTATTTAAAACTGAATCGAGTCTACCGGTGCCAAAGCCGTGCATATCGTTTTACTTTGCGTTTCATCAATATCCAGATTATATTGGAACTAATAAAAGAAGCCGGATTTACAGAACCTTCGCCAATTCAGTCTCAAGCTTGGCCTGTGCTCCTAAGTGGCGAAGATCTTATAGGAATCGCTCAAACTGGAACAGGTATGTACTTTTTATCGTTATTATCATCAAAATTATCTTTATTTTTATGTATGGTCGGTTTCTCTGGTTCCATTTCTTCATGTCTTTACATTTTAAAATATATCAATACGAAGTTTGCTCGAAAAGTACACGACCTTCATTTATAACTTCGCGCCAAAACGTTTTATCGCCCTCTGTGGGCTACGAGCGCAATAATTTAGTCTACACGAATACTTGTCGAATATCGTGTGTATGGCATATAATAGTAGCCCTCTACAACAGGGGTGCTCAAACTTGAACTGCTGGCGATCTACCTCAATATTTTTAGACTACTTACGATCGACTCTGAGGGACTGCAAGTGTGTGCGATGCAGGGTTGTCGCACATACACGATAGACCCTACCTACTTAGGTAGGGCGTACCGCAGCATATATAGATATTTGCTTTCTGCACAATATACGTACATTATTTTAGTCAAGGTTTGGGTTAGGTTTAGTTAGGTTCTTCTTACAATATCAATGAAAAAAACTCATAGTTATTCAAATTTGCGAGTTTACTTGTTGTTACAAAGAAAGAGTTACATATGGTGTTAAACTTAACTAACGAGCGGCTTTGGATGTTGAAACGTGGCACTGCATGTCCTCAGCATACTTTTCATAAGATGGTACGTAACCACTGAGTGCTAATCGCAAGCATGATGTCATATGATCGTCAGTTAGTCGATTGCGATATTTTGACTTAATTATCTTCATTTCAGAAAATGCAGACTCGCACAAGTAAGTTGACCCAAAAAATGCCGTCAGTTGAAGGGCGATTTGCCTTATATTCGGATATTTATCTTCAGATATAAAACGCCAGAAATTTGTATCAGATACTGTAGCTTTGAGATGTATATCTGATGTAATCTGCACCAACTCATTTTCAAACAGAACATGAGTTCATATTAAACTGACTTGCTATTTCAGTAGCTAATTCCTCAATGTTTTTACATGAAAAAGGATAACTCATAAATGATGCTATATTTTCCAATTTACTGCAATCATAAAAACGCATTTCGAATTGTCCCAAATATTTGATAATTCAGCCTCATACGTATCATAATTCAACTGAGGAATCCTTGCTTTCAAGACGGAAAATGTTTCAGATCCTTTCTTTTCAGTTGATCTATCATAAGTTGCAATTTACTTTTGAATGCGTTTACTGCGCTAATCATCTCAATAATAGTTTTTCCTTTACCTTGAAGCTCCAAGTTAACGGTGTTTAAGTGCATTGTGATGTCAGTCAAAAAATGCCAAATCATTTAGTCATTTTTCGTTTTTCAAAATCTGAGTGTCGTCATCACCTCTTTCGTCTAGAAAAGCTGTTATTTCGGGCAATAATTCTTGAAACCTTTCTAGAATTTCCGCGACTCAACCACCTGACGTCCGTGTGAAACACTAAATCAGTGTGTTCAGCTGACTCCCTATCTTCCAACTGCAACTGAAAGAGCCGCCGTTGCAAGCTACGTGAACGGATGGAATTCACAATTTTTGTTGCAATGTCCATAATTTAATCCGTGTTTAAAATTTTGAACACAAAACTTGTTGATGTATACAATGGAATGAAAAATGAAGGGAATTGTTTCATTAGCTCGACACAATGCCACAAAACCGTTTTTGTTTCCAGTTATTGCTGGTGCTCCATCGGTTGTAATGCACATTAATTTATATATTGGTAGCTTGTAGTTTTTACAAAATTTAAGAAAACTTAGTTTTCTTAAATTTATCGATAAAAGAAATTTCCAAATAAAGTCTCACCTGCTTCAATAAATGCTTCTTCACCACCGATCCATCTTCAAATGGTTTCTTGTGTTTCGCCAAAATATGAGGTATTTTAAATGATGCGATCGTAGCAGCTTTTGATTGTTTGGCTGGTCTTGTGAACATGGATTGTTCTTTTTTCAAACAAGATATCAAATCACTTACTTTTCGTTTTCTTAATTCACTCTGTGGCGGAAAATCCTTTTCATAGTTTTTATGAACCGTTTTATGATGCCTCTCTAATCTACTTATCCTTCACCATAGAAAAGAAAGATTCTTCCTCCTAATCCTTATTAAAATGATACGTTTTAGATTTCTTTATTTAATAATAAACTTTGTATCGACGTAGGATCGCTATCAAGTTACAATTCAGAATAACTCCAATTCCTGCAGCGCAACATTTATATCGGCGTGAACGAAAGTCTCGAATGTTTCCGTCAAACGCGCCGCCCGAAACTAGACTGTACTGTCTCTCGTCTAGAAACAACACGGCTTTTCTTTGACAAGTGCCGCGCGTTCCTTTGATAAAGCCACCTTTTGCCGCAAACAGTGTTATTTTATTACGTAATACATTTTTGTAGTTGATAGAATATCATCCCAAATTTGATTTATAATTATAATAAATATTGAATTAATAAAATAATTAGTTAATATATGTAAATATAAAATATGCTGTGTGGACAGTATTTTGTTGTCCTCACTTCTTTGAATTGCAATGATGCTTAGTCAAGCATTCTATGTATTTGTATAATTCAGTATTAATAAAAACGTTTAACTCTGCTGACAGTAGTTTAGTTACCTATCTACTTATTAAAATTTTTTTTCTTCTCGAGATCTACTCAAAAAGCACTCGCGATCGACCAGTCGATCGCGATCGACCGTTTGAGCACCCCTGCTCTACAATATAGCAACTGATATCAGGGTATACAGAACTAACGCTATGTTCTTGCGCTTGAAGCTGCTATTTCGTGACGTCAATGCTAAATTAGGAAGAAGTTTGTTTTTTAATTACTTTTTATATGCTTTTGAGATCTAATGAAATATTGCGGTAAAAACGCAGCAGTTTCAAATTAATACAATTAGAAATTTTCCTTGTGAAATGTAATTTTCACCAAATACGTAAGATATTTATAGTGAATCTTACTGTAAAAACTGATTGAAACTAATATAAATAGAAGTTGTGTATCGATCTTTTTCGATGCTTTTTCAATTTTTTACCGCTTTTTTCGACGATTTTTAGCTTTTTTTATGCTTATTCATTGCTTATCACATTCTGTCAATGTTTTCCATCGCATATTCGATACTTTTGGATTGTGCGTTTTTAACTTTTTTTAATTTTTTCTCGTCATGCGTAGTGATTTCTTAACTCTTTTTAGTGTATCAATTTTTTTCCATGCTTCTCCAACTTCTTACAGTTTTCTGCTGACATTGTGCCAAAGTTTTCTATCGCTTATTTGATTTGACTTTAGAGTCTTTCTAACATTTTTTCGTCGGTATTAACTTTTTTTAATGCTTCCTTTTCATGTATTACCGCTCTTACCGCTTTTTAGTGGGTCCGATGGCGAATAAAGAATCTTAATTGCTTTATCAATCCTTTTCTATGCTTCTCCCATTTTTTATCGCCTTGTGTGCAGAGGTCTCTTTCCGCTTTTTAGTGTATCCAATGGCCAATAAAGAATTTTAATTGCTGTATCAATGTTTTTCGATGTTTCTCTCATTTTTTAATTCCTTCAAGACATTTTTAATCGTTTTTTGCGCTCATTCGTTGTTTATAACATTGTTTCAAAGTTTTTCATTTCTTATCCAATACTTTTTTTCATGTGCAGTTGTTTCCTACCGTTTTTTAGTGTGTCCAATAGCCAAATCTTCTTCCTTTGCCCTATCCGTTTCGGACGTTGGCTATTAACAAGGCTATTTTGACTTTGTTTACGGCACCTCTGAACAGTTCGGTCGATGTTAGTCCGAACCATTGTCGCAGGTTATGCTTCATGAGTGTCGTCTTCTTCCCGGTCCCCTCCTACTGTCGATTCTTCCTTGGACTATTAACTGTAGCCGCCGGTACTTAGTACTTAGTATGCCGGTACTTAGTATGCCTCATGACATGTCCGAAGTACTCAAGCTTCCGTTTCTTTACGGTGAAGATTATTTTCTTTGCTTTTGCCTATTCTTTGCATTACTTCCACGTTAGTGATGTGGTCTGTCAGGATACCGAAGAATACGGCGATATATCCACAGCTCAAAGGATTCTAGTTTCTTCAGGGTGGCTTCCGTTGTGGCCCATGCCTCTGCTCCATAGAACAAGACGGAAGACATAACACTTGACCAGTCTTAATTTTAGTTCCATTGAGATTTTGCTTGTGAACCACTTTTTCATATTGTTGAACGCGTTCCGCGCTTTTTCAATTCGTGATCTTATTTCTGTTGACTGGTTCCATTTTGTGTTGATTGTGGTTCGAAGGTATGTGTATGTCTCCACTTGTTCTATTTTTCGGTTGTTTAATGTCAATTGCATCGGAGGTTGTTGTGTTCTGCTGATGAGCATGCATTTAGTTTTGGTCGTATTGAATTCTAAACCATAATCTTGCTGTGTGTATGCTTTGCATGAGTCTTTGAAGCTCGTTGCAGTCATTTGCGATAATAACTGTGTCGTCAGCACATCTAATATTATTGATTCAGAAGATTGACTCTGAAGATTTGTTCAGAGTAAATATTGAACAGGAGCGGCGAGAGGACGCATCCCTGTCGTACACCCTTTTTAATATCTATCTTCCCACTGTGTAAGTTGCCCATCTTTATCTCAGCACTTTGGTTCCAATAGAGACTGGTTATTATGCGCAGATCTTGCCATCAATATGCTTCTTCCTGAGCATTTCCATGAGTTTATCATGTTTGACCTTGTCAAACGCCTTGGAGAAGTCGACAAGTGGACGTCCTTGTGCATGTCTCTGCATCTTTGAATTAAACTTGCAGACTGAAGATCGCCTCTCTTGTGCCCAATGTGCTTCGGAATCCGAACTGTGACTCCGATATATTTGCTTCGCATTTGTTATACAGTATTGGAAGATTTAAAACGGAACATACGAATTATTAATACAATTATTAAGATCCCCTGATCTGCAATTACCAGTGTAAATTTCAATATAACGTCGCGATGTCTTATAATTAATTCATTTGTTCGACTGGATTGCTACTCCTTGGCGATTTCTAGTAGCGTATTCGACAGGTGTACGTCGACACTGTTGTCTATCGTCCACTGATTTTCTGTGTTTTTGTGCAGATAATAACAATGTTTTATTAATAACAATTTTTTTGTGTTCATTAGATATTATTTGAATTGGTTAGTGTATAGTTTAATATATTTATTATTCCAAATATTGTTGATAATTTAAAATTTAAAAGGACGTATATGATACATCAAAATCTACAGATTTTTGCCGAAGGTATCTATCGATTTGGCAACAGTCCAAGGAACATCACTGGCCGAGCAAAACAAATACATGCCCTTTGTTTTGCTTCTCATTATAACGCCATAAGCTGAAATAAAAGTAGTGTTTCTAACCATAAACCATGTATACAAACAAAGAAAAAGTACAAATTTTAAAATGGTATTATGGGGGCAACTCGTACCGTGATATTATAAATTTATTTACTTGTGCGTATGAAGATAGGCCAATACCGACACAATCAACTATTAGTCGTATTATTAAGGTGCGCACGTGCGCAGCAGTGGAAAAATATCGACTGGAGAAGGAGTCCAGTCGAACAAATGAATTAATTATAAGACATCGCGACGTTATCTTGAAATTTACACTGGGTAATTGCAGGTCAGGGGATCTTAATAATTGTATTAATAATTCGTATGTTCCGTTTTGAATCTTGCAATACTGTATATTCTATTGTGTATGATTTTGGTGAAAACTTTGGTAATGTGATTTATCAAGCTTATTAAGCGGTGTTGATCACAGTGTTTTGCACTTGGTGTTTTAGGTATAGCCTAAAAAGCTAGTCAATAAAGAATCTTAATTGTTTATCGATCTTTTTCGATGCTTTGCCAATTTTTTACAGTTTTCTCGACAATTTTTATTGCTTCTTTTATGCTTATTCAGCGCTTATGACTTTGTGTCGAAGTTTTCCATCGCTTATTCGACAATTTTGGAAGACTTTTTCGTCACTTATAAGTTTTTTAATTCTTTCTCGTCATGTGTAACGGTTTCTTTCCGCTTTTTAGTGTATCCAAAAATCTTAATTTTTTATCAATCTTTTACGACGCTTCTTCCATTTTTTACCGCTTTCTCGCCGAGTTTTTAATTTTTTAATGCTTATTCCTAATTTATAGCAGGCCATTCACGTTCCGACTTGTGGTACGACTAGTGGTCCAACTTCTGCAGTTGGATTTAAAATCGGACCGTGAGTGAGCTAGTTGGATTAGTTGGACAATAGTGGTACGACTAGTGGGACGACTTGAAGATCCGACTTCCGACTGGCGACGAAGTCGGAGCGTGAATGGTTAAGTTGGAAGTTGGATCGAAAATTTCCTCAGTCAGTTGACTTTCGGCACCTGTTACATATGAGATTTCTATGAAATACTTTACGCAAAGATCTCTAGTTCGCGAATATTTAATAGAAAATAAACTTTCAATTGCACGAAAATTACCTTTTTGTTAGGGCAAATCATTTTCCTTTCTGTAGATCTATTTCGGACATTCCTATACAGGTAAATTTCCCATACTCCGGATTGGCTACGGAAGAATTATCAACAAACAATGAAAATTAAAATCATAGTTGTAGCAAAAGATCCCTAGTTCGCAAAAAAAAAAAATAATAGAAAATAACTTTCAATTGCACGAAAAATTATTCCTATTAAAAATATACGACACACACACAACAAAATTAAATCCCAGCTCCAGTTTAAAACAAATAAAATATAGATTTTATACCTATACAAATCTTTAAAAACTATAATTTTTTCCTACATCTTAAAAAGTCATAAAAATCAAGAGTTGAAAAAAATTAATTAGTTCAGCCTAGACAAATAACTAGAGAAACGAAACCTAAATATGTATTTTTAAACATACATATCACATTATTATATTTTGCGTAGTGTTTTATTCGATACATTTTTTGGTTAAGCGATGTACACCATCGTGAAAACAACCTAGAACTGAAGTTGGACCGCTAGTTGGATAGAAAGTCGGAACGTGAGTGGAGACGAACATCCAACTAGTAGTCCTACTAAGTGGGACCACAAGTCGGAACGTGAATGGCCTGTCTAACATTGTGTGAATGTTTTTAATTGTTTATTCGATACTTTTTGCTTTTTTTAACACTTTTTATCGGTTTTAACCTTTTTAACATTTTTTTGTTAAATGTATTCGATTAATCACATTCAATATAATATCTCTTTAGAAATAATGATGGATTCGAACTTTGTTTCAAACTTCACACAAAATTTATTTTAACTATTATCACTACATGATATGGCATGCCAAAAGTAGATCACTTGAGAAAGGCAATCAGCCGAAACAACTGTAGTGATAATAGTTAAAATAAATTTTGTGGAAGTTTGAAAACAAAGTTTTCAGTGTTTTATTGTTACATATCTCTTTAGATTTAAGAGAGCCTTTACATCTAAGAAATATTTTTTTTGTGATCAATAATAGTCTATTACTTGTTACTAATTTTTATTCTAGGCAAAACATTGGCATTCCTTTTACCCGCATTAATCCATATCGAGGGACAAATTACTCCTCGCCAAGAAAGATCAGGACCGTCTGTGCTCGTCATGGCTCCAACGAGGGAATTAGCATTACAGATTCACAACGAAGTACAAAAATACAAATACAGAGGTATCACTTCGTAAGTACCAACATATATACAATATTTTTGATACAATTCTCGTCAAATGACATTAACAGACCTAGTAAATAATTTATTTTTTACTCTAAGTAAAAATATTTATGTAAAAAGGAGCTGTCCAGACTCCTTTTTTGTGTATTTTGTGTCGTTTGTGTTAAAAACGAAAACGATTTTGGAATGGAGAAGCACATAGAATTGGAAAAAACGGGGCAGAGATCCTGAGGAAATGAAAGACTTAATCTTAGATAACTCAAGAAGTACCAGTATAGTTGGATTAACAGATGTATTCACAAATTTGAGAAATCTTTCTCTCATCAATGTTGGGCTGAATTCTCTTAAAGGCTTCCCTAAGCTCCCAAATCTAAAGAAACTTGAATTGAGTGACAACAGGTTCGCAAATGGACTAAATCTGCTAGAAACTAGTCCAAAATTGACAACTCTCAACCTCAGTGGCAATAAAATCAAAGATCTGGAGACATTAGAGCCACTAAAGCATTTGAAGAACCTTAAGAATTTGGACCTGTTCAACTGTGAAGCAAACACCAGCTTTCAATGCTTAAAAACAGCTATTAAATGTTTTATACCAGTGATTTCTTTGGATTTGCTCGGCGAAGGTTACCTGGAGCAGATCTTATGAAATTAGAAATTGTTTGCTCTTACAGAAATTTATCCGGCAGTTTATTTAATTAAATTAAACTAACTTTAATAAAAATTTATATGCCATTTATGACGACTATCTGCGATTTGTGTTGAAACTGTTGATTATTGGACTTCAATACCACTGATGTGAGGAGTTATTGTACCGTAATTTGATGAATAAGTTTCCTTTTGACATCTTCAATCTCTATCTTACGCTTTTAAATCATACTGCTCGCGTTTCTTGCTCTTGCACGCTTTTGTTGCCACTTTTCTTTTAATATTGTACTCATCCTTTTTTTTTGTAGTACTTTTTGTTCCTAGTTGTAAATGTTTTATTCTCACATCGTCCTTTTGCCTTAGAATCAATCTACATTAAGCGTCAAGCCACTCTGCGTTGCGATGCTTCTCCTGTTCTCCTATTACATGCTATGTCGCTTTTAGTATACTATTCTTAATTATATTGCCATCGCTCTTTTACGTGTAGTATTTTGCAGTATTTTTCCCCAAATCATTTATTATTTCCCCTTATACGTTAGAGCTATTTTTAAGTCTTCATATCTCCGCAACTCTTTCAGATGTCTAATTGTAAACTAATAGTCCAATTCTGCTCAAATTTTGGCAAATTGAACTTTGGAACTTTTTAAATCATATTTTTTATTGGTGGCGCCATCTGGTTGTAGAAATATGAGACTACAACCAACGAATATAGACACATATAGAAGCACATTTCAACGTAATTTTTTGGTATATTCTGTGCGGGAACATTTTACTTTTTCACTTCTGTTCCTGCAACGCCAGGGAGCGCTTATGTCATCCCCCTTCACGACCACACCGTCCATGGTCTACAAACAAATACTGCTTCTGAAT